TCGGTGCGCGGCATCCCTCGTGGTCCTTTTGACTTCCTGCTTGGTACTTCGGTGTGGTTCTCTCATGATTGTTAAGCTCAGTCGTCCTCGAGGTGTTGTCGGAGGGCTCCCGCAGGGCCGCCGCCTCGCAGTGGGTGAGGGAGCGCTTGTCGAGCAGGCCCCCTCCTCCTGGTGAGGCACTGCTCAGCGCTTCTCAGAGCTGGTAGCTCCGCGGGCATTGAAGGCTGGCTAACGTGGTGTCACGGCCTCTGTGTGAGGTAAGGCGCTGGCCTGGCAGGCCCAAGCGTGGTCGTGAGGCGGCGTGTCAAGTAGGCCGCCGGCCCAGCTGCCCTCGGCTCTGCCCCGCGCTCTCCAGCTCTGTGAGATGGTGCCCGAAGAGAAACGTGCTGGCTCGGGAAGAAAGTAACGGTTCGTGAGGCGTTGGATGGCATTCCGCAGCTGCGGGAGGATCCTGGGGGTGCCTAGTGCGACAGAGTCGCCCTTACCTCGGCTGAGACCACAGGCCTCAGGGTCACGGCGTTTGTGCTGAGCCAGCATCGCCTCCTGAGTCCTGCTGTGAAGTGAGGAGTCGGTGGCTAGCGTAGGCTGAGCCTGTGTGTAGATACATACAGGAACTTCTGTGAGGAGAGTGGTGCCAAGTTGGAGGTGTGTTTCTCTGGTGTATGCTTGCGAAGAAATTTCCTCGTACAGATAACAATTTTAGTAGCACAATGGCTGGTTACGGGTATAAGCATTGTGTGCACAGACCTGGTTTGTTGTTGTAGCTGTTCTGCAAATTTTCTGTAGCCTAGATCTGACCGTGACGTTCAGTGTGTCAGAGTGTGCCTGGGGTTATTTAGACCGTTCTTTCTCTAAGTAGCCGCTAGAGACTTCACATGTGGCTACCAGGCAAATATTTAACTTTTGTAACCGCTGTGTCTGGAGGAGCTGTGGCCACTACTAATTTTCTGCATGTGTGACCACAGCAAAAGTTGAAAGAGTGCATGAGTCCCTAAGCTCGAAGGCTTTCATTTACAGAGATCTGATCCCGTTTCATATCCTCATTCATGCGTATACTTATATGTAGCTGTTGTTCTTTTGTTTGGCTTTTTCTTTATATTGGTAAATATAAAGCTTGGCTTTGTGCTGATGCTCAGTCTGCACTAATGTTCACTTTATAGTGGCAGGCATGCGTTGCTGACAGATTCAAATTATGCCGTAAGCATGCACACAAGTTGCATCTATGTAGTTAGGGCAAATTAGAAATCAGCTGATTTCATGGTGTGAACAGAAGGTAGCTGCACTAATTTGCTAGTTTCTAAGCTGGCTTGCTTAAACTGTTGAAGGACTAAAGTTTTTGTCTGCAATATCATAGTCCTCTGTGGCAGAACAGGCTAGGGAGAAAGAAGAAGTGGCTTTACTCATTATGAAAACAAAAGGTACCATCACACTGCATCACATCAGCTCCATTTTCAATATATTGATTTCATCTACTTAAGATTTTAGCGTAATTTCATCACCATATGCTATCACAGGCCTGTTGAAAAGCATTGTTCTGAAATATTTTTGTCTGTTGTTTTGATAATGTCTGTTGAAGAACTAAGGTTTCATTCATCTTAATTGACAAATATCTGATGATAGCATTGACTGTTAAGTACTAACAACAAGAAATAAGTTACCTAAAAGAAACTTGGATGTTTGGTAACTGCTATATCTAGTGATAGAGTGTTATTTACCAGAAGAGTGCTTAGTTGTCAACTTTGATGCGTTTAAAAATGTTTTTTAAAAATCTGCAGTTCATGTTGTGTTGTCAGTGTCAAACCAAGCTCCATAGTGAGTGGCTAGCTTAGGCTATAATTTAGCTCATTGCTGTTTTACACCTTCTTAAGTGTTTGATTTTTGCAATTAAAAAGATAAATCACCACTGCGTTATTTTTTCTGTCTGTTCCAGATACTGTTCTTCCAAAGTTCAATATTGACTTTGTTGTAGCTCTGCTGAGGCAAGAAAATGCTAAAGACATCTGTGTCATCCAGCTACCTCCAGAAATAAAATACTGTAATTATTTTATAATCGTGAGTGGATCTTCAACACGACATCTCCATGCAATGGCACAGTACATGCTGAAAATGGTAAGATAGTTCCTGCTGCACTCTCTGGGTTTTGGCAAGTGGTTTTAAACATTGTGAAAGGAATTTCCCCAGGATTGCATATAGGGGTGTACCAGGCAAGATGAAACTAATTATCCTTATGCTGGTTAGTCCTGAATACATCTAGCAACTAACTGTGCTTTTCTTCCTTTAGCGGTACTACTCATAATGTAGAGAATATATTTTAGAAACAGACCTCTCTGTATGTGATGACATTAGCACAGTTTGGTGGCTAGAACAAGAGTGATGTGAAATGGTGATGATGACCTATGTCTGCTTTTGTCATCTGTCCAGCAAGCTTCATAGCTATTCCCACTCATTCAAAATAGCTTAATCTGACTGTTCTCAAATCCTAATCCCTAAAATTTCCAGGTTCTCAGGTATGTTGTAAGGCTGGAAAAAAGATGGCATGTTATGAGGCGCAAGATCCCCTCATGGGCTTACTAAAGCAAACTGGTAGTTAATAGTCCCCATACTGTACATGTACAGGAGGAAAGGAGAAGCAGCAGCAGCTATCCTTGCACAGAGATCTTACACTGTTTGGCTTTGGCAGAATGTGAGCTTTTCCGTACAAAAATAGAGGTCAGAATAAAAATACAGGTAGAGCTTAGGGATAAAGGCCAAGCTCGGGGAGGGAGAAATTTTATGGCCAGAAAAGAGTCAGCTGACTGTTACAAAGTGCAGTGTAAGGAATATGAGTAGCCCCAATCAGCTGTCTGTACTCAACCTGTAGTTTGCCTTCTCTTCATGCACTTTCTTTCTCTTCCTGACCCCATTTTTCCTTTGGCTCTTGGTTTTACTTTCTTCCTTCCAGCCCCATTGGTTTCAGCTGTGAGACTTGAAGGGGAGATGGTATTGCTTTTCAGTGCCCTTCTGAGCAGGTGGGGGGAGTTTCTTGTGTTCTCTGCAGGAACTGATATATCTTTGCAGAGAAATTCTGCCTCAAGCTGGAAGTTGTATTACTGTGATTTGAATATACTAAATTTAACCGCTTAATATGTACTCTGTTACTTGCATAGCTTGCTAGTCTTAAATCAACAGCTCTCCGTCTCCCCCAGACCAGGAGAGGTCGGTGAGTATCACCCACCCTGCAAAAACACGGCTGTGCTCCGACTGCCTGCTCCCTCTGGTGGCTGTACGACGGCTCCTTTGGAAGAGCCGGGCCTCTGGGGAGACCTGACATCCTCCTCGGCATCCTGAGAAACAGGGAGGCCTGGCCAAGCACTCAGGAGTGGCTGGGCTTGCCTGGGCAAAAAGTAAGCTGAAGCTGAAGATGTAAAGCAGAGCAGGTGCTCAGGAGTGCTGCTAGGCAGCTGGCTAGCTTTACCATTATGGTGCCTAAAATCTTATGGTAACGCCTGATTTACTCACACTAAAATGCAGAAGTGCTCATGTGTAGTGTGAGGTCTTCCTGCTTTTCTTCCAGTAGCTTGTAAGTGGCAAAGTCCCAGCTACTGCTTACCCCTTCCTTTCTGGTTTCATGTTTGAGGAACAAACTAAGACTTGGCTTTATTGTAATCTGTTCACCTTTACACAGCCTTTAAAGACAAGACTGAAAGAAACTTATAGCAGAGATCAACCTTCCAGCCTCTGTTACATAGCTAATGGCAGTGCACACTGGGCTCTTCAGTGTTTTAAGCAGACTTTCAGAGAGTCTTTGACAATTACCTGCTTTTGAGGATATCTCACAAGCTTTCTTAAAGGAAGGTAGAACTAGTCCTGAATTACATCTTGAAAGTTCTCCATTCTGGTTTGCAAAGTGGGGCCATTGTCCGGCTGCTGGCATTGTGTGGGAACGACCAGGAACAGTTGCATTTTGTGATCATTGCCTTCCCAGTGAAGTGGGACTCATTCACCAGCCAGCCATGCTGTTACAACCTGTTCTTTTGTATTTTGTCTGGCATGGCAGAAAGGACTGTTAGAGCCACGTAGTTTCACACTCTGTTGCCTTGTGCTGAAATAAATATTATTTGGTTTGGTTCTTAATTTCAGCTTGAAAGAGGTTTCCGTATTTTTTGATTGACTGATTCAACTAGCAATAAAGTAGAAATTTGAATAAAGCAGCTCTATGAAGATGCTGTTGACTTCACTCTATTTTTATTTTTTTTCTATTGGTGCTTCTTGTAAAGAAACAACTAGGTTATGGTCAGATCCGAAAGTGACAGTACTTAAGCCTCTAGTTGTCAAGTTTCTTCAGTTCTGGTGGGTGCTTAGATTCTTTTTGTACTAGGTGGGAAGAGCTGAGCCTCTCAAGCTGGCGTCTGTGAAAGCCACCATGTTGCCTAGGGCACTAACTACCTTGCCCTAGCTGAGCATTTGCAGTCATGCTTTGAGCTGCTTTCTCCCCTCTCTCACAGAGGTTCATAGCCTGGAAGCCTGTGTGCCAGTTGTGCTTTCCCCCCATCTTGCAATGAGTGTTAAGAGCGTACACTCAACAGACAAGAGGCTTGTTTGAATGCCTTCCTCGTGGCATGGGTTGAAACTTGTTTCCCCCCCACCCCCTTCTATCTGAGAAGCAAATAAGCTTGGCATCTCCATTTCTGCATCCTTAACTAGCCAATGTGAAACAATGAAAGGTGATTGAAAGGAGATAAAACTTCGTGGTAATGGCAGCTACAGGGAACCAGTAACTGAAGGACTACTTTAGTGCTAAGCAATTGTATTCAGTATTCATCTTGAGAAAAAAAGGACACGTGTAAAATTCATGGATAACTGTATGGGAATTCTGAGCATTAGGATTTCAGATTTGATACTAAAATCCATTGAGAAAGCTGTACTTACCTTCCAGTGCTGCAGGTGTGTATTATTCTTGTTTTTGTGCAGACCCCAGAACCAACATGAAGTAATATAACCCATTTAAGATTTAAAACAACTCTAGACAACTCAGCAAAGTCCAGCTTATCTTTTAAGTTTGAGCGCTTTCAAATAAATAAATATTTAAATATCTGCCGTTGCTTCTTCTCTTAGTACAAGCATTACAAAGAAGAAAGTGATCCTCATACTCGGATTGAAGGGAAAATGCATTGATTGTGGTAAATATTTGTGAATCTGACAAATACAAAGTTCTGCATGAGTGTTTTGTTGAAGGCGGCATCTCACCGTGAACCCTGGTTGCTGTGGAGAGTTCACAATACTCTGCTGTTTTGGAATTCCAGTTGTCGTTACTTGAACTCATTGAGATACTAAATAAATTTTCACTAGAGATCATTGGCACTGAAAAGAAAGCAGTAACTACTCTTCAGTGGCTAAAGCAGGTCTTAATAAATTGAAGATAACAGTAGTAGAAAGAGAAAAGCTACTTCAGTCAATTTTCTCAGGTTTATATAATCCCTGTTGTGGTAAGTGGGGGCTCTATGTGTGCTGCCATAGTAGTGAACTGCTGAACAGACTTTTCCACTGTCCAGATCATACCGTGACATGGGGTGAAACCTCAGTCCTAAGAAGTTGAGTTTAAGTCTTTATTCTACAAGTGTGAAACTCTCTACACAAACTGTTCCTTCACTGCCAGCTCTAGGATCTCACTCTCTAACGTTTGTGTTTTGGCTTGAAAGAGAGCATGGGTGGGTGAGGAGCACTTCTGCCAGTGATGCTAATCCTTGGTTACTTTACTATTGATGATTTTGATAGTTATAACTGAAAACCAATTGAAATTTAAGGGCATAACTAGAAAAAAGTGCATTAGAAGTACACTGGAATTAACACTGTCTACTATTGTTTGCATGGAATTAAAGAAAAACCTGTAAGAAAAAAACATATTATGTGAAAGTTTGGACCTGTTTCATTATAAGAACCACCTGAGAAGTGTGAGCAGCACACCTAAGGAAAATTATTTGGCTATAGCTGAATGTTGTTGGTAATACAGGAAAGCTGAAAGTCCATCTGTAACCTTAGGGAGGGGACTCTTTCAAGTAAAATTTCTTTTGACGTACCTCCTTCTGTCCCCTAAAAGTCATAACTTCTGTGGTCTGGGCTCTTGTGATAGTGTTTTACTTTAAACCAGAGTATTGTCCCTCTCATTCTCCTGCCTGTAGTCTTGGAGTCTTTTGAAGGACTGAGCAATTCCTAACACAGTTCAAGAACTGTAATCAGCAACTTAACAGGTCAGCTGATGGAGGTCTCTTCTTATATCTAGCCAAAAGGGGTGGCAGGGGGTGTGTGGAAGACTTGAACTCTTTGTGCAGCTGGAAGTGTAGTAGTGCTTTACCGTTCCCATTAATTTATTGTGAATTTCTGTTCTGTGCAGGTAGCATAGTGATGCATTTCATGCTGCCAGAGACACGGGAGGCTTATGAATTGGAGAAGCTGTGGACTCTTGGTTCCTATGATGACCAGTTAGCACAGATGATTTCACAATCACTGCCAGAAGACTTTATATTTGGACTGACTCCTAATGGCAATGATCATCTTGAGACAAGAACTTAATGCAGCTGCTGAGTGGAAAGAGAAATGAGCATGCCTTCACAGATCTGAGACAGATATACAGTCTTGATTACTGACTTAGCAGTCACTACAGTTGATCGATACAAACCAGTGTATTTATTGGATGTGCCTAGGTAAAGTTCTGAACAGGCTACAACAATGATCAGAATCATAGAATCATTTAAGGTTGGAAAAGACCCTTAAGATTGAGTCCAACCGTAAAATGTCAGAAAAGGAATGCTATCGTAAGGGAGCTTCCTGGGGTAGTCGCTGTCTCAATGGAATTTGCAGTGAGAAGAGTGGGGCAGACAGCTGCTTAAGCTACTTACCCTGAAACTCATCCACAGCCTCTACAGGTATTGTTTTTCTAGTATCTTTGAAAGACCTGCCTGTAGTGGCAGTGCAAAAAAGACTTGAGTGCTGCAAGGAAAAAACTGTGTTAAATAGTACAGTTTAGATAAGGCTTCTTGTATTAAGCCATTTGCTTCTGGTCATGATGAAGCAAGTCATGCTCTGAGTTGAATGAGGAGAGACAACAGACTGGTGTTGCTGAGCACATAAAAGCCAAGAGCAGCAGTGACAAATAAATATGCCTTGGCTTAACAGAACAGTAAGTCAGTTTTTCAGCCAAGGCCAATCTGTTTTTAATAATAAAAAAAAAAACTGAAGAGCTTCAATTCCTTGTCTTCATGTTAAAACATTCAGCTCATTCTAAGTGTGCAGTTGGTTCCTCGCTTAGTTTTTGGAAAAGGACACGGAAGCAACATGCTATGGCAGTGTAAATGGTCAGCTCCGTTGAAGTGGGCAAAAGTAGTGCTAAAGGAAGCCCTTAGCCAGTGAGTATTACTCGCTGCTAACGGACTGTTCAGCACTTTCAGAAGTCATGGCACAATGCATTCTTAGTCTGACTGCTGCATGGTCTAAGAACCACGTAGAAGAACTTCAGGATGGTACAAAACTTGTCTGTGTAAACAAGATGCTTTTCTCCACTACAGGGCAAGGGCTTTCATCACTGGGTTAGGATCTCTTCCTTCTGGAGAAGCTTGCTCTGCCATGCATCAGGAAGTGTAGCTCCTGCGGGTAATCACCTTTTTCCTCTATAGCCCCACAAACTGGGGGGGGCTGTCTCCATCTCTTCCCTGCACAGCAGCTGCTGTTTGTAATGCTCAAAGAAAGCAATCTTGGTTTTTGTGGTTGCATTGTTTTTCTAAACTTGTTGGTTTTTATTTTTTTAAACTAACAAAGCCCCCTCCCTCCTTTCAGAGTGGTCATGTTTTCTTGCTGTGTCTAGCCTCTGTTCTTTCAGGAATAACTGCCCCAAAGTTCACCTGCTCTTTGATACCAGGCAGCAGATAGTTCTGCAAATTAAGCAAGGAGCATTTATTAAATGTAGTTAAATTATGCAGATACAACATCTTTGCCCAGGAAGTAAAGGTATTAGTGGTAAGTGTGACTGCAAAGAAGGATTTTCAAAATGCCTCATGATACTTGTCAACAAGTAATCCACATGGGGGAAGGATAACTTGGCTGTCTGACAGAGTGATGCATTCTAAATCAGGCCTTTCCTCCTAGGAGGGGTATGTAGGAGTAACTTTGGATCATTCCCTGAAACCATTTGCCTTTTACTGCTGCTGCTGAAGACAAGTAATACTGGATGAATAGAGGCAGGTTCAGCAAACAACATGCCATTATATGAAGCCACATTTAGGAACCAGAACAACATACCGTCTCAAAGAGCACAGGAACAAAAGGAGCACCTAGAAAAGAACAGTAAGAGATAGGGAACAGCTTCCATGTGAACAGAGCTGGCAAGAGGCGATAGTCTATAAGACGACAAAAAAAAAATATCAAATTAACTGAGGAGACAAAACCCAGTAGAATAAACAAAAAAGTATAGCTGACTTTTCTGCCAAAGCACATTGTAAAAAGGAGTTGTGTGGAACATCCAAGTGGTTGCTATTAAATGCTCAGAACTGCCAGCTCAGGAAAAGAACTTCTTCATCCTCCATTTACTAGAAGCAACCATAATCTGTGCTGAGCTAGCACAATGTCCCAGCCAGGTTACCTGCCTGACTTGGTGAGCCTTTGGCCTGACCCTCTTTAAAAGCTGTGACCTAAGAATTAACAAAGACTGGAGGATCACTACAGTGCAACAATAAGCCCCTTTTGGAAGGAAAACATTGGGGAATGGTTTCGGTTCTATGGATCAGATGATTTCTGTGTAAAATAAAAATATAGAGAAGCTTGTCCAGCAAGTCCATAGATTCATCTTTCAGTCCTCCGGTACAGAGGTACATGCAGGTTTGGCTCTGTGCAGGATCCCTTGGTGTTGGGATGAACAGGAGAAACAACTATCAAGGTGGAACTTTTGTCATCATTTCACTAATTTTCTGCACTGCATTTGAGTGACTTCATTATCAAGCAGTGTTTGCATCTATCAGTTGAGCTAACATCTCTGTTACAGCCCAGCTTGAGTGCTTACTCCACAATTTTCATGTTCATTGAAAAATCCTATACCTTTAGGTACCATGTCAAGACCATGCTGTCCTGCACAGCATACATGCTTCATTAATGTAAACTAATACAGAGAGCGCATGCCTTTGAAATTGCAGTTTAGGAATAAAAGCTTTGGAAGGTTAGAAGCAAATAAAAGCATCATGATTAAGCAAATGCCTAAAACAGTCAGAGGTTTAGCTGTCACAAAAGCACCAGCAATACAGAGGAAGGCTTAACTTCTTATATTGCTCAAATGGCAAGGATGCTGGTTCTGAGAGGATAGCTCAATATTGGCATGGAAAAATGAGCTTAGAGTTGCCTGTGAAATGCAATACCCTATGCAGTGTCTTCTACAGACATAATTTCTTCAATTCCCTCTTCATGCTGGTTGGATCCAGAAAGTGAGCTGTGAAGACGAGTGGGAGGGTGCAAGAGTTTGGAAAACACGTTTGGTTTTCCACTCCTCTGTAGAAGATACAGAATCATATTATTCATGACACTCCTTCATTCCCCTCCCCCTCCCTGAACACTCTAAAGTGTTCAGTTAAACATCTAGTCTCATTTCTATTCCAAATAATGTTAACAAGGATCTAAACAGAGAGGCAATACCACCTCACAAGTGGTAAGTGGTGTGTGTTTGGTTGGCAGTGGTAGGAGTGAGAAACAGGTTGCTGTCACATTTGCTTGCTAGCGTGATTGGTTCCGCCTATCCAAGCTTCTAAGGCCACGTTCGTTACACAGCTTCATCATGCTGAGAGCACCAATGTAACAAGTGGGTAAAAAGCAGCCACCCAAAAAAGTTAACTGCAATTCAGATCTCACTTCAGACCTATTAAAGATTCCTTCATGTTTGCCCTGGTTCAGGACTGTTGAGTACACATCCCTTCCACAGCACATCAGCCTAAGTGATCTGCGTAAGACTGCGACCATGACCTATAGGTTGTACTACAGACTGTACAGCACTGTTACATGAGAGGGAGAAGGGGAATTACAAGCCACAGAAATCACTGCTTGTATTGGGAAGTGCAAACCTGGTAACCTGGCTGCTGGATGCCCTAGCAGTTACGGAATACCCATGGGTGACTGTTCATCCTTATCCAGTTATTATTATGGACAGAACACCAACTTGATCAAAGTACTGCAAATACTTAGAACAGTCTGTCCCTATGCCTCATTAATTTAAAAAAACACCACACAACTTTGTCTGATGATAGGAGTTAAACTCTTTATTCCATTCAGAGGCATCTGGCAAGTGGAGCTGCATTGGGGGGCACATTACAGATGAAAAATGATCCATACTTTGTGGATATTGAAATCATTTACAGTATTTACTTTCTAGCTATTCCCAAATACTCCAAATTACCAAGTCTCAATTGAAAAGAAAAACATGATTTACCATACTAAGTCTAGAAACTTAAGAGAGATGACAGTATTTAAATCAGCAGACGTAAATGCAGCGCCTATTTGTAAAGTAATTTTTATGGAAAATAATGAAGTCAAATCCTTCTCAAAATGTTAAGAAAGGAACGTCAGACTGACTTAAGCCTTAACAAAAATTAAAATGCTATGACTTTTCATACTTCAGTAATTTTAAATTCATTGTAAGAAAAAAAAATTATTATCCTAAAGGCTAGGTGAAGGTCACTGTCAAAAAAAGGAAAAGAAACTCATTTTTCTTTGCTAAAACTACAACATAAGTTTGTGGTTTTTAAACCAATTAGTAAAGAAGAGATGCAGGAAAAACACTTCAGACCATTTTCAAAGTTATCTAATCTGTACAACAATGATCTTTGGGAAAATTATCTAGTCTATGTAGTAATGCCTCTATTTCAACATGAACCTAAGAGGTAGATAACAAAATGATGAAACAAATGTTTTTGCTCGTTGTGCCCCTCAAGTCAGTGCAGCATGGTGATTCTGATCATCTCATGCACAAAAAACATCACAAAAAAGGTTCAGAGGTAATAGCATGGCTCTGTCGACCACACACATACAGGCGCGCACGCGCACACACACACACACACAGCAGTCTTTATGCACCATGTGTTGCCACATTTTTTTTTCTTAAACTGAGGTAGACTGAAGTTTATTGTAGAAACTTGAATGTGTCACTATTACCACAATCATCATTCAAATTACATTCGGAAATTAAAAATTTGGTAACTTTCCTGTTATCCCTGCCTTTTGACATTTTTTTTTTTTTCTTCTCTAATGGTTGGTTGCAGAACGTGCATAAATCCTGCTGCATCTATTATAAGCCAGGCTAGAGAGGTTGTTGTTTTGTTTTCATTTTTCTTGTAATAGTTTTTAAAACCTTCAAAGTGGCTTAGTGTGGCCCATAACAGCGGCTGAATATGTAAACTTAGCCTTTCATTATCTTTCAATGTGATCAAACACTGTTTGACCTTCCCCCATCGTGGTAACTGAAAGCAGTATGATGTGATCTGCAGACAGCAGAGACCCTCGTGGCCTCAAATATGCTCTAGCAGATCAAGTGTTCTATCAAA